TCGCTCTCACTAATATAAACAACTCCGCACGATTCGTGTTGCTGCGCGTGGAAGTTCGTTATAAACGGAAAGTTAATTAATATACAACTAACCTAAAAAGTGATTTTAAACGTTTCAATTAAAGGAAAAAAGTTTGTTTTAACCGAAAGTTCACTATAACCGGGTTCATTATAAGCGGACTTTACTGTATATTATATTAAGCAATTAAAAATGACGATATGTCCATATAGAACAGATCACGGTCGAATAAAACGTTAACAAATTAATAATTTATATCCAATGTTAGAGAATAGCTTTAGAGAATCAACGCATAGTTCATCCGATACCCTTACAAACTAACCGAAGGCACACCTGACTATTCTCCAAATCTTAATAGGGGAGGATTTAAAGATTACTTTCATCCAGAGAACATTAATTAGTAACAACAAAAGTGGATTGTAGTTTACCTAAAACAGACCTTTCCGACTTAAGGAATGCTTGGGAAATTTCATAAACTTTATCACTGCTGGATTAGTTGAAAGCTCAAAATATTTGAGTTCAATCATTTTAACTCTAATGAATTATATGTGGCTATTAAATTGCATAACTTTGTAGTATTCAGAACCTGAAGTTGCGGCTAATCAAGTTTATCGAAATTTATATTATTTTTAAGTTAATGTGCCAAATTGAGATGAAAATATAGTCTATTTGAAAAGTTTGATTGCATTTACGATTTACGATCTACGTTTCAGGTTGGGTCAATTAAATTAATTCAGAATCTTTACGTGCTTGCATTTTAATCATGTAACATTTCTTATTCTAATTATTGTCGTTTTTGCCAGGAAGAATATCGTTTTTATTTCCTTTGTCTCTGTACATTTTGATTAATAAAACATTTGCCATAAATTCGACAAACTCGAAATTCGTCTGAGACCTGAATTAAAATACTGCTAGTCTACTAGTGTAGACAAATGCAAATTGGTTTCATATATATACCTATTGAGAAGAGAGTAGAGCGGATGGATGTCGGTTACCCAAAAAAGCAATGCAAACACGGGAAACTTACTTGGCTTTATTGGACAAAATCACTTGCAATCTTGTAATTTTAATCACCAGAAAGTGTTCTGCAAAACTTTCCAAGAGTGGCCAAGTAGCGAATACACGACAGATTAACGGATTAACGAATGGTCACTTTGTGTTGAAATACTCGCTAATGATTAGTTTTCTTTAAAATAACCCTAAACTATCATAAGTGTGTATTGAATTTTCGCAGTATGGATTTTAGCATCTTTTTGGTACTCTAATTGAATAATATAATGTTTAGCTAGTGTAAAAAGATTCCATTGTTTGCATAACATGTTTGTTTCCTAGCCCAAAAGCATGTTTGAATCTCTGGTCTGAATGAATGAGGCAACCGCAAAAGCCCTTCAATACCTACTGTATGTGTAGAAACAGGGCCGCCTTTAACGTAGTTGGGGCTCAGGGCCACACTAAATGGGGTAAATGGGGCCCCTGTAAGGGGATTATATTCTAGGCAAAAATTATATCCTTTTTTAGCCGCATCAACGCATAGATGGAACGTTTTATTATTAACATTATACCAAGGATTGAAAGTTTTAAAAGCGTTATCTACAACTAGATGGTCGGTAAGAGCAGATATGCAAATAATGCTTTGTATAAGAGCTATAGGCTATAGTCCAATTCTGACAGTGCTTGATAAAATATCAAAAGATCTTACGCAATCCAATGATACAAATCATAAAGATGCACGTGTTGATGAATAAAATTGAATGATAAAATTCGGTATTTTAATCCCCATTAATAACACGAGTAAAAAGTTGTAAGAAGAAAGTGTCGACTTGTTTGTTGCATTCTGCTTGATTAAATCTTTACAATTTGTTTTGTCAAATCTAAGATATAAATTTGCACGTTTCCTTGAAAAAGCAAAAAGTGTCATACCAAATTTTGAATAAAATTAGTTTGATTAAATATTGCTAAGCCCGCCCCTTACCTTTGTCTACAAAATGATTAGAAAACTGAACTTTTATTGACAATTCGATTGATTTTTTGCTTAATTAATTAATGTTTTTCTACATCAGGTAATTAAACAGTCAACCTTTTCCGTTTATTCGTCACCTTGTACCTAAACATTAATTACAGTTTCAGTGCATGCTTTGCTGTAAAAAAAAATGAATCAAATGAGTCCTAAAAATAAATTATACAGTTCCGGTAGCGATTAGATTAAAGGAGTCGATTGTTCTTATTTGGCACTGTGTGCACTTGTCTTTATCCATGGGCTCTGAGAAAAATATTTCAATTTAATTTCCTCACAAATATAACGCGAATATGAAACTGGTGGCGGCATCTCATTATTAATTATTAATTCATCTGCTTAAAACATAGAAAACTAACTGGAATGTAAGCCTTCTGCTTCTCACAGAGATTACAGTCTTGAACTTCTTTAAATTCAGGGTTTCACAGCACTTGCACATGAACTGAGCTTCACATTTGGATAGTATGGTTTCTAATAGTCAATAAAACACTTTCTTGAATAACTCTTTGATGGTGTAATATGATGTCAGTGTATCCAATCATGGACAAGAGATGGCCCCACTGGATAAGTTATAATATTATTTAAAAAAAAATCGTATTAATCAAATTGAGCATTCAAAGAAACAGTTTACTGATAAGAAGTTTTGCTCGGAATATTGGAATGTGGATTCTTGAAGTAAATATAGTTACATAGTAGCGGGAGTTTCAAACGGCGTATTTTCTTTCGATATTTAATGCAACTTACTCTCAATGTAGAGTAATTTGTTTGAAGTACTGGCACATTTCGATCGGCAAATAAAGATTTGGCACTAAAACTATTTAAAAACCCCGCTTAAAAACTTTAAGAAAGCAAAAACTAGGCTATGGCAATTCAATATTTTAGCATTACCCAGCATGCATCACGCAAAGGGAGTGGGAGCAAAAGCGAATGTCTACCGAGAACGGCGAAAACAGAGTTGTGTACTTATCACTTCGAGGAATAGTTATTTATAGTGAAAACTGAATGTCGCTTAAATTGGCAAATCGTACATGAATTGAGTGACTTTCCTCCGACTATTAATGCATTGAAATGTGGTGTTCGAAAAGAAGCACTGTTCTGTTTAGTGGTGGTATTCATTGGTGACGTAGAGTCTCCATTATACCTGCACCGAGTTCTGCCTGACCTTTCAAGGCCCCAATTAAAAAACATGATAGGTTTGTGATGATATTTTTCAATTTTTAGTTAGCAACGACAAGTTGAAGTTCATTTAATCATTAGCGTAGTTATTCGAAGGGTGTAGTGATGCGAACGAAATGGTCAATATAGGACTGCTTTATCAATTTTCATAATGTAAACAGTTCGAGGCCCCACCCTGAAGATTGCATTGCCTGCATTTTGAAAACTCCCTGTTTTTCACAACTTAATCCTCTAATTAAATCAGAGGAGAATGTCCCGATTTCTTTCCAGAATTCGCAATTTTATTATATATATGTCTGTATTGCCGCAGTATATAAAAGCCTACTACATTTCCTATCCTTAGAACAACTAGCAGATACATATAGACCGTAATTAGACCAAACTAGTGGAAACTGCCTGTTTAGAATAATATAAGAGATGTAGGTGTGTTGGGATGTCTTCGTGTAGTTACGTGCAAGAGGTTATATCCATGTGCTCTTCAGAGCATTGAGAATATGTTTGTCCATTAAATGTGTAACTAGTTATTKAWTMAATAACTAGTTACACATTTAATGGACAAACATATTCTCAATGCTCTGAAGAGCACATGGATATAACCTCTTGCACGTAACTACACGAAGACATCCCAACACAAAATCCCTACAAAATTTTTGATCACTTCTGTAACAATAAACAGGAACTTTTTTGTTTATGCATACCTTTAAATAAACCAAAACGTTTATTTTAATATGTAATTTATTTTACTTTTATAAATATCATTATTACAGCTCGAATATCAGTTTTCTCATTAGCCTGATAGTAAAAGGTGGAATCTTGTTCCACCTATTACTGAGCATAAATACCTTACTAATTAATAATTGATAAGTAATTTTTTACCCGGTGCTTGGTGTGCTTTTTGAGTTTTAGTACATGTTCTCCGTGTGCTTAAAAAGCAAATGCATAAATAGTGGAGTGAATGCACAATTTTATTAGACAAAAGTATAGTGTACACTGGAGAAGCATTTAAAAAAATATAAGTATATTTAATTTTATTTATAGATATTCTTCAGCAAATGATACAAATCTTCATCAAACAAATACATAGATCTTTGCCCTCAGACTGACCTACACACATCTTGTTTCGTAAGTAACTGTTGTTGGTTAAAATCATTTTATCACAATGTTTCATTTCTATGTTCCTCATTGTGTTGCATTTATGTACTTTCAGTAAGATTATGTCTAATCACTTACATATTCAAATTGATCGTACATAATGTTTTTTCATACAAAGCATCAGGACGTAATCTTAATTGGAAAAGCATATTTGTGTTTGTTGAAAGGTATATTCATTAATCGTTTTTGCATGTTGCTACAGGTATAATATTAACATTAACACACAAAACACAGCTTGAAAAATGTCAGCTACTCATCTTTTGGATTCTTGTATGTAAGTAATATTTAACATCGTAACTTTCTTACATAAGCACCTTGGTTACATATCTTAATTAAATTTAAGCAACCTAAGCTTCAGTAGCAAAGTCCAATGGCTAATGGTATTACGGTACAATCAAAAAATAACATATACTGTAAAATGTTTCTATTCGACATCGACATTGCATGTCGTCATCTGCATTTTGCTAAACTATCAATTTTGTTTCGCATTGGTGGAGGTGCCGTAACCGTTTATGTTAACACTAGCCTTTTGCTGTGTGATAATTTATATTTCCATTTAGTACAACAAATATAAATTGTTGGAGTTCTTATTACGTAAAACATTGTTATCACTTACAAAATAACAACAAACTTTTTTAAATAATTAGCTATACAGAAATGATGCTAGTTGAAGAAACCAATATAAATGAAAGTGCTCAATTTAGAGAAGYGAATTTGAAATTTTAAACAAATAACTTCTGAAAGTGGTCTAGGCGACACTGTAGGAAGTACAGGAAGAAAAACTCCCACAAGTTCCGAATTCAATKATATCAATATCGGCACAATGCGTGAGTTGCGTTCATTACATGTGTTTTGGTTTGTTCATTTCTAAAGCAAAACTCCTATACGTATTGTATTGTAATTCAAAACTTTTATTTTACTGGACTAACTTAAAAAAATACACAAGGGATTAATTAATAGAGGAATACTTTGAAGGCTTTCATTTTTATAAGTTATACCTACGCATGCACTATGAAAATAAAGTAATTATTCATGTGGTGCTTTGGCTAAAATCTTTGTGCTTTGCAAACTGCCAGCTTGGTTAACAGGAGATTGGAACAGAGGCAAGAGAGAAGTTTCACCCATACTGAAGTAACGCAGCGAAGGTAAGAGTACCCGTGCATTTGGGAATGTTATCGTTTAATTCATTTTCAATTTCATTAATAGGAAATTGCTTTGTATCATTTTATCATAGTTAGTGTACAAATTGCAAACTATCCTAGTTAAATTTGAAAAAACATAAAGATAACATGCGTGCAGAAGAGTCTGTAGTATATTCGTAAATTTAGTTTGGGTTAGTTTGGGTTAGTCTCACTGTAATGCTGGCTAAAATAAGTCATTCAATTAATTATTTAAAGGTTTCATTTCTTTTTAAATCTCATGTTGGCCAAGAAATCAATTTTTTCACGGTATGGTAGTATCAGTACTTTATTATATATATAAAAAAACAATATCCCACCATTTATTCAAAAGTGTATCTAATATGATATAGATTGTCTTGGTTTGGATTAGTTGGTCTAGTTGATTGGTTGGCTTAGACAATATATTGCACTAACACTTTATGTAATACGCCCTATAACACAATATTTGCTTTTAATCTGTGATATGGGCTTGTAAACTCTGGTGACTTATGGAAACTAACGGGTTGTAAAACGGACATCAGGTAACTGTAATCACATTAGAACGTTTCGCAAACACATTTTGCAATTGTTCAAAATTCAATAGAGAAAATATTCGTTCAGATTCAAGGAAAAAAAATGCTGACATTTTTAGAGATAACGGAAAGTATGTAAGTATTAGATGCATTTACTCTTTGTTGTTTTAGGCGAGTCTTCCAAGATCAGGGTTCAGACATGCAGCACTATAAGTGAGTTGTATTAGAGTATGCATGCGTTTCATCATAATAATGCTACGTTTCTTAATTCGATATTGTATTTCTTTTTATTAAAGCAATACATATTCTACGGATTCTAAGCCAAATTAAATGTTTTGATCTGATCCCTTTCAAGAAACAATATTAGTATACTGTAATTTTATTAGGGGACCCGATGTGGCAACTCTAAATGATTCATCGTACCATACACATAGTAATGGTCATTCAGAGAATTCCCCAAATTCCAGTCGTATGTCTGTGCATAGCGATGAACCATTAGTGCGAACTCAAAAACAACAAACTACCCAACAAGTGACAACTGTTACGAAAGTGGTACGAGAAGTGCAGCAGATCGGAGAGCAGTCCGGGGAGTATATACCTGTTCCACTTGGATCTTACCCACATAGCTCGCATTATTCAGACTATATAGATCAACCACCACATCATATGTATTCTCAATACCATCAGCATCCTCATTACCAGGTAACAGTTCAGTCCAATTATAAGTTAGGAAGTGGAAAGGGAGGGAATGTTTCTTTCTAGGATTTTGAGCATTACCCCAATCCCTATGGTACATACATGGGGTATCCAGCAAGTGCTGAGCGACCTCCGACTCCCCCTAGTCCGAGCGAGCACAGTGCAGATCCTTCTCCTTTACCTATGTCCGCACAGCCCAATACAGCGTACTTGGGATCTGGATACGATGAGCTTCCAGAACATTACAGGTGCATTATATAAAATCAGTTACGGTGTATAAGATCTGTATGATCTTTATTTTAGAGTAACACCATCTCCTGGCGGACCGCCTATAGGGTTAGATCCTTATCAGGATGACCCGGGGGTGGTTTATGGCTACGTTTCGCCTTCTCCCTACAGCACAGCTCCTTTGTCTCGGCCGTATGTTGATAGTTTAAACGGCCCCGTTACTGTTGCCCCCAGCAGTATGAGGATGTTTGAAGAAGACGTAGATCTCCAGAAGCACATGAGTAAGATGTCGTTACATGGCCATAACGTAGGCGTACCTCATGACAGGTATTTATTGTGATTTATCCACCAGCTGAAATCAGATATTATGTGCTTCATGGACAGCACGTGAAGATGTCTATCTTTTTGTAGGGTACATATTTCCTCCCCAGGGAGTGTTGTAGGCGATGAAGATGTACGAGGTATGCGCTGGCGTGACCCCAACTTGCCAGAGGTTATAGGGTTCCTAAATAATCCTAATAATGTGATTAAAGCAAACGCGGCAGCTTATTTACAACATTTGTGTTATATGCATGATCCCAATAAGCAAAAGACTAGGGCTCTAGGTAATTGTTGATGTTGTACATCAAACAAATTGCGTTGAATTAACCGTCATTTTTAGGAGGCATTCCTCCTCTAGTCAATTTGTTAAGCCATGACAGTATAGAAGTATTTCGAAATGCGTGCGGGGCGTTGAGGAATCTGTCCTTTGGGCGACAAAACGATGAAAATAAAAGATCAATAAAAAATGCGGCGGGCATTCCCGCACTGATCAATCTTCTGCGGAGATCGAGTGAGGCCGAAATTAAAGAACTTGTGACGGGGGTGATCTGGAATTTGTCCTCCTGCGAAGACCTGAAAAGAAACATCATTGACGATGGTGTTCTAACTATTGTAACATTTATAATCATTCCCCATTCTGGCTGGGATCCTCAAGGAAACCACGGCGAAACCTGCTGGTCTACAGTGTTTAGGAATGCATCTGGAGTATTAAGGAACGTGAGTTCTGCAGGGGAATACGCCAGAAAAAAATTACGAGAATGCGAGGGTTTAGTGGATTCTTTGCTGTTCGTTGTCCGCTGTGCCATAGAAAAGTCCAATATAGGCAACAAAATAGTTGAAAATTGTGTATGTATATTGAGAAACCTGTCCTATCGATGTCAAGAAGTGGAGGATCCAAACTATGATAAGAATCCTTTGCCAACGCAAAGTAGAGTGGCAGCTAGTAATTCTAAAGGTATCAGTTTGTTGCTTAATTTACTCTAAGCTAGTGGTACTAAAACTGTGATGCTAAATTACAGGTGAAAATTTGGGATGTTTTGGAGGCAGTAAAAAGAAAAAAGAAGGCAATTCATCTGAAAATAAAGACACAAATTTTTCGACATCAAATGCAACTGGTACATCTAGTACAGCTTCTAGGGGCGAACCATTTAAGGGCATGGAGCTTCTTTGGCAGCCCGATGTTGTGCAATCCTACTTGGCCCTACTGCAAAGTTGCTCGAATCCGGAAACTCTGGAAGCTGCAGCTGGAGCCCTTCAAAATTTGGCGGCCTGCTATTGGCAGCCTAGTATAGATATTCGTGCCGCCGTCCGCAAAGAAAAAGGACTACCGATTCTGGTTGAGTTACTTCGCATGGAGGTAGATCGGGTTGTTTGTGCAGTAGCGACTGCATTGAGAAATTTGGCTATAGATCAGCGTAATAAAGAACTGATCGGGAAATATGCTATGCGAGATTTGGTTCAGAAATTACCGTCTGGTAGTCCACAACATGATCAAGGGACTTCGGACGATACCATTGCTGCTGTTTTGGCCACTCTAAACGAGGTAAATGCAAATGTTACGTACGGTTTATACATATTATATTTTGTAAACTTTTCTTTCTAGGTGATAAAGAAAAATGCTGAATTTTCCCGATCTCTACTAGAAGCAGGAGGAGTAGAAAGACTGATGACGATAACAAGGCAACGACAAAAATACACCCCTAGGGTACTTAAATTTGCTGGGCAAGTGCTTTTCACAATGTGGCAACATCAAGATCTACGAGAGGTGTACAAAAAGCATGGTTGGAAGGAACAGGTACGTATTTTTTATATCACATTTGCAAATTGCAATTTTTATTGTTTCGATATATCGTAACATGTGGTGGTTTGAGTGCTATATTTGACTTATTTTGGATTGTTTGGTTTAAGGATTTTGTTACAAAAACCGTGGCCGCTCGAAATGCAGGTCCAAATTCGCCAAACAACGCTAATAGCACCCTCAATAGGCCAATGGCTTCGCAAAGTGGAACCAGATATGAAGATAGAACGATGAAGCGGTCGGCACCAGGCTCGCGAGGTCCTGTTTTTAGGGTAAGTGTTATTATTTTACAACACGTTCAATTAAGTTCGCATTTGTCATCACAAGTTGTAAAAATTGTTTTTCTTTTTCAGGACGATATACCAATGGCCGACATGGCGTACCCTGAAAACGCACCAATAATGGGTCGGCCCTACCCTTCCGGTTCAAATCCACCTCCAGTAAGTCATTAAGCAGAAATCCTCTTAATATTTTTCTCATTCATGACCTTTTTCCTATCCATGATTCTTATCGTCCATGTCAATTGATATTTTTCGCAATAGATTGCTTAACTAAATCATTGTTTGTGAATCGAACGTAAAACACAGACTTGCTCAATGCCTAGTAGTATTAAATATATGGCGTACCTATCGTACTACAGTATTGTATATTTGAGCTGTTTTTTGCGGTTAACACATCGCCAGGGTCTTATTTAGAACGGATCAATTATCACGTGGTTTTGATGCAGGCTCTGCTTAATCCTGACTCGCCGGTCCCCGTAGGTTGGTAAACTAAAAATCGAAAATTCTAAAGCGAGCTGAACGTTTGAGAATACTTCACTATCGCGTGGCCGAATTTTAAATAAAATATTTATGTATTATTTAAACATTTGCGTTTTACAGAGTTATTATAAGACGCTCATTCGCAAAAAAATACTGAAGTGTGCGACGAGACCCCAGTAGAAATGATTAAATTTTCATATTAAGGTATTTTATAACATATTAAAATGTCTCATTCCAGTTAATGCTATCAACAGTATTCTGAATGTTTTAAAAGGGATTTTTCTATTTTTCTGTTGGTTTCAGTCTTCCACTTTGCAAATAATACCTATCTAAACAACAGTTTCGTATTAATATTTAGCTTCGGCTTTGCAAATGCCATTTAAGACCGAAATCTATTTGCTCGTAATGCGTAAAGATTAGTGCTCGATATATAATTACGATAATACTAATGATTCATATTAATCCAGTACACCCGTTGAATTACGTATGTTAAACTGTTTATCTATTGACTATCATCACAGCGTACGGTGAATCAACCTGTAATACGGGTGCTCCATCTTAAAAATAAACAATCTGTGATTTATGACTCCGTCACACTGAAAAGCGGAAATAAAACGATTTTGTGGATATACTGAAGGGGATAAAACACATCGCAATTGCGAGATTGATGAAAAAACTGCAGTTTTCTGATTGCGAATGATATCTTCTGACCGGCAGTTTGTCCACTAAATCGTGTTTTCAGAAATCATTTACTCGCTGACCGCTCCGTCAGTTTCTTTATGCCTATGGAAACTTTAATGTTGATTGGCGATGGTGTCGTTTGAGGCCCTCTGAATTTGTAGTTTTGTCTATTCATACCTTAAAGATCACTTCAAATTAAGCACTCAGTGAAAATTTTCCTGAACGGTCCATAAATTAAGTCAAAAAACAGAAATTTTGAGGAAATTCCCCATGGATACCTTTCATGTAGATTCATTCAATTTGGGTCGGTTTAGATTATTTAGGTCTTTTCGGTTTATTATCATATAGGCAGTTTTATTAAGTTAATTCAATTTGAAATAATACTTTTAATTCATTGTTACACACAAACTGATAATAAATGGGTAAAATACACCGCATACACAATAGAAACACCGCATTGTGCAAAGTCTCCAAAAGAAATATAAATAATCAAGCATCTGGCTGTCCACGTGCTCGATAACGTCAATCAAAGGCGAGGTCAGAACATGCTGAAACTTTTGCAAAAAAAACAGAATTATTATGCATCTTAACAACAATTTTTCATGTGGAGTTAGTAATTGTTCTTACCTAAAACACGATTTAGCAGCAAATAGCACCGGACAATCTCATTTTCGTGCAGAAATAAGTGGCTTTGGAACTCAAATTTCAAAAGTTTGTGAGTGTTTTTTGGCTTAATTTGAAGTGATCTTTAAGGTAAGAATAGACAAAACTACAAATTCGGAGGGCCTCAAACGACACCATCACCTATTAGCTCAAGGTTTTGTGGCTATTTTCAGTTTAATTCGTCATAGTCAGGGCATTGGATATAAAAGAACAAATTTGTCCTTGATAAGCAATTCTTTGCTATTTGTAATCTTCTAATATTTTAAGAAATTTCAAAGCAAATTTGTTTGAACGGGATAAACGTACTGGTGGCATGTGTCTTAATCTGTGTGTGTTCTTTAAGGGCACGGAATGTATAAGGTGCAACGAATACGGAAATATCAGTATAATTTGTGAATGTGGAATGTCTTTTACATTCCAAAAAATGCATTTTACTTTATGGGTGTTTGGAACATTTTATACTTGGCCTATATAAGTGGAAGCATAACTGCCTCATTTATAAAAGTAGTTTTGTAATGTCACTTAGAAAGTTAGTGGTACATGGTACTGCACATTATACACATTGTAACCTGCATGGATGGGATGGTGCAATGATTATTTGTAGTTTTCATACAAAGTTATATAATAATATGAGGTATTCCTTATTATATTGTTAGGGTGCTAATAGGTAACTAACCAAAGCTAAGAACATGTTAATATGTTAGCTGTTTCCATAGGAGATGCTATAACCTAATAAGGTATTGTTTAAATATATTTACAATAATATACCTGACTTAGTTTTAACTATTTATATACATAACATTTTGTTGTTAGCTTTTTAAAATTCTTCATTGTATCTTCCCATGAGCCGTATGAACCAAATTATTTGCTTTCTATTTTACACTTGCTCGCTATTTATGTACTAGATTCTCAATTCCTTAAATGCACTTCGGCTTATGTGTCATTATTTTTCGGAAATTAAAACGGTTTCATCTCTCCATTGACTGATCATGATGTATTGTTATTTAAACTAATATTATATATTTTTTGTAAGGCGACTTTGAAGTCTGCGGATGTTAAAGCACTTGAACATAAAGTTGAAAATCATCGTAAGTGTGATCAGTAAGTGTTAAGGCAACGAGCATTCCACAGTGTCTTTATGGATGTTAATACACATAAGTATAAGCAACCCTTGTATTTATCATGAGCTCTTGACTTCATTTTTTTTCTAGCTAGATTTATCAAATCTCCTTCATTTCACACTATATTTCATTTGCTTCGAAATATTTATATTGCGCATATAGTTATGTATATACTTACCCATTAAGCAGGATTGATAAACACGTGACCACTGTATACCAGTTAACCATAAATAGATGTGTCGCGTTAATTTATTATTTAATCCCTGGAAGATTATCGAAATTGAACGATATTTTTTTAAATATTGAGCAGCGACCATTCGGCTCATGCTTTTCATACTTAATATATAAAGCGCCTAACATCATTAAAGATGTATTAATTCGACTTTTTTTAATTATAAGAATATTTATTGACAATTCCTATTCAAGTATTATAATGTGTACTTAGTCGATGTTACTCGATTTTATCGAATTTAAGCTCTAACAAGACCGTTCAAAGTAATTCATTCACACGCAAATGTCAGTGCTGAAAAACTTTCAATTCCTTTTCAACTCCAACTAACAGTTATTTTCCTAAAAATGTGAATATGGAGCGTTAGAAGTAAGTTAGTTGGATCTTCAGTCCGACCTAGCAGCCAGGTTTCAGCAGGGATGATGATAATGGCCAAGGCTCGGGGCGGCTCATCAGGTAAGGCTGCATTTACCTTGCACTTTTGTCCGACTAATGTGCCGGCACGAGCATAAAATTGATTGAAACAACTCTGAGCTTCTGTCAAAGATATACTTTTCGTCCGTTGCAATAATTTAATTTGATGTAGAGTGTGTACTGAAATTAGCTCCATTGTGGGTTTTCGAATCTTTTCAGTTTCAGAGTTTATAATGTTAGTAATTATGATTACATGTGCCTACAGGCAATTTATGAAGCCACACTGTATATTAAGTTAAACTCTCATTTGTATTTTAAGGCCAGCAAGTGTTGTAATCTAGCTGGAAGTTTGCGCGCAGTACTTACCAATCAAAACACATTTGTAGTGCTATATAAAATAAAGTTCATAGACACCAAAAATGATGAAACCATAAGTGCAGATCATTATTAAAATAAATTTTAGTTCTGTTATACGCTACATGTAATATATCAAATTAGTATATCTGAAATTACAACTTTTGATTGGCTAATTATTTAGATATGAGCCTATTCACTTATATCTCATTTTGTGCATGCGTTGGTGTTTGTTTCGTGCTGGCACTGTAGTCTGCCTTAGGTGTTTAATGTAAATCGGCCCATAGGCTCCGGGAGCTGCCCAGCGCCTTTGGTTTGCAGAGCCCTAAAACTAAGGCCCTGGCCAGCTTCTGTTGTAGCTTAGGTCAGGGTAGGAAGATATTTAAACTTTATTGGAGCTGCATCACAAACTCTCGGATCATGTCAGAAAAAAGATCAGATATTAATCATTTTTCTCGAATTGAACGATCGTACTAGGCTTTGAGATTCTCACAGAAATGCAACAGGCCGGAATATCAAACATAGTGACTAAATGCTTAGTCAATAATTAGTTAGTAATTGGCTGGTCACTGAAAATGTGCTTCAACTTATTGCATGTCTGTGCGGATCTTCTTTGAATGAATCGACTTCCTTCTTATTAATTGTCTTAACATTTTTTATTGAATTAGTTCAATTGAAACATGCCATTCATAACACGGTTCATTTTCCTGATTGAACAGTGTTTATTAGGTTCCAACAAAGTCAGGTATTTTTTGTAAAAAAGTTTTTATTTATATTATTCGGCCCCTTATGTTTTCCTACCCGAACGAGGGTGTTTCCTAAGTAGCAGTGATGATCTAGGGTCTACTAAATATCGACTACTATTTCTAATTTTCACTAATTGTCAAGTATTACTGCTTGTTGAATGATATTTTCAATTACTGGCGACTATCACCAGTTATTTTCTAACAGGTATATCGATTTTAATCAGTATCAGAGAGCGAAGTTATCATTTTACTTGGGAAGCATCTGCATAACAAGAATTTCGGCTCAGCTTGAGCAATATCATTAATAAATATTTATGAGATAAAGTATTTTCAGCCGGAACCCCTGTATGCCCAGGTGAACATGGAGAAAAAACGGAATCGGCAACCAAGTCTTGGTAGCACTAGTTTGAATAATTTAGGAGATGTGCAACTGCAACAGTCAAGACAGGGCGAAGCTTCAGCTCTAAGTGTACCCCCTGGAAAGGATTCCTGGGTCTAAAGTGACTGAACTTTCTTTTGCAAGTCTGATCTAAAAGTATTTTTTTGCTCTATTTTTGTAATATGTACCCTATGCAATGTACTGTTTTTACTGCACAATTTTAGAAGTATTTTGGTTTTTATTATATACATGTATGTAGTAGATCCGAATTGGTTTTTATGATATTTCAAGTAATTTAAATGTGCAATTTTAGGTTAATTAAATGCTCTTATAATGTCTTCAAAAATTTATCACATTGAATTTTCAACTCTTTGAAGCGATTGAGTTGTCAAATAAATAGTTTTAGGTCAGGCGCTTCGTCTCATATGTCAATATTCGATCCTATGATTCATATTAAGTATATAACTGTTCTTAATTTTATGGTTTACTGTGATTAAGCTTCAAGTAAAAATAATTGTCTGTAAATATTAATAGTCAGCATAAATTTTAGTTTTAATGCAAACTTATGTTTAATTTAATAATTTAGTCAAAAATAAATTTATTCTATACTTAAATTATAATTATATAAATACATCATAGACATAATGAAGTCATTGCGTTTCCGTTTGATGATTGATGATTAAAAAAAAATACGAACATACATTGAAGCAAATATTTGATTTATTCAGTACTACCATAGTCAATTTTAATATTGTTTATAATAAAATAAACTTATTATAATAACCACACTGTTTTATTTCTTCTCTAATCAACTAATTTAATTAATTATTAATGTTACTATTAAGTAACCAAAATAGTAGTTTTCGACACTAGGGCGAAAAGTGTCGTTTTTCGAACGATGATGGCGTTTGACACCCCAGACGAAGTCGAGTAAAAGAATAATATAAATAAATAAGAATAGCCAAAAATAAAAGTATCGTATTGATAACAATGAGTGTTAAAAATTCAATGTCCTGTGCTCTATCAGAAGTTTGAGATGCCGCAAATATTGCTTTCAACTTCCAACCTTGAAACAGCCGCTTTCACTATTAGTATGTTGTTATAAATTACAAATTGTAAGTTAAACTTTAAGTCGGTACGGAAAAGTAAATTAAATGAATACTAAAGAAAAGTGCTTCTTTATGATCATCGCTTCTGATCGGAAAGGGCAGTTATTGACTTATTGCAATTGAAAGTTCATACTATACTTAAGTCGAAATTAAAAAATCGTGTAGAGTGTTTGCAATTAATATGAGCTAAGATGGCTGGAATCGGCCTGATATTTTGTACTTGCTGAAGAAAACAGCTTTTTAATTGCTTCTCTTAAATTCTATAGCACGAATCGCTTTCCTTTATCTGGTAACGACATATCAAATTACATATTTACTATTAAATAGCTATTTTAATTGATAAACAAAAGGTATAAAATTGATTACAAGAATATTTACAATTTTAACAAATGTGATCGATTAAGAAAATCTGGTCATCTACTGCTTATATCGAGTAGATACTATATGGCCAATGTTTTTTGAAGCAAGGCGTATTTTGCGCTAGCGCAAATATGTTTTTATTTGATATTGCTATTATTTATCGACGCAGAAATTCATTTGTTTCTAAACTTTAAATAACAAGTGCGATGTTATAAATTGTTTACACTGATAATTTGGTTGATCCAACCAATGAAGGAAGATACTTTGACGTAAACCCCAGGAACGTCTACTCTACCACATCCAAATCCCCATGAGACCAAACCTGCTAATTCGTAAAATCCATCATCTTGGCATACCAAAGGACCGCCACCATCACCCTGAAAAATGTTTATAGTTTCGATAAATTCCACTTATTAGCTGGTGCAGTGGCTCAATCGCTTACCTGGCAGGCATCGTTGCCTTCTTCGCCACCAGCGCAAAAGCTGCTGGCTGGCAGAATGAAAATTTTCTCAGTTACTGCGTTTACTTTCCTTATACATTCTGCGTCACTAACGATGGGCAACTCAGCTTCTCTAACTCGTAAGGGTATTGGTCCAGCTGAATTAAAAAAATATATGCGAACAAAGTTAAACGGTTATACTGGTTGTGCCCTCTTTCATACCTTCGCCCATGTAACCATATCCAGTTACCGTACATCTTTTCCCGGCTGCATGATTAACTCCGCGTGCTGGCAAACAAACCAGGCAAACTCCGTCCTTAAGTTCAACTTGACCATGGAGCTTCAGTAAAGCTATATCGTTGTCCAACGTTTGACTGTTGTGATTGTGATGAATATAAGTGGTAGCCACCCTCAAGGTTTGAGCGCCAGGACTGCCGTATTTTTTGGTAAGGTCGTGGTCGCCGACTCTCACATAAATTGCATCTCCTGAACGCACTATGCTGAAAAAACACTCAATGTTAATTAGTTAAATTGGTAATACTAGTAGATGATCCTACTTTGTTACACAATGTGCAGCTGTTAAAACCCATTGGGTGCCGATTAACGCTGCACCACATAGATATTGATTGAGACTATTGATTAGAGCCACTTGCCAACACCATTCGCCTTGCTCTCCGTCTTCTCCGCCCACCACTTTTCCCATTCTGGATGTTCCTTTTACACCGCAAACATACTTGCTGTATACTTGATTCCTTTGAGTTGTTACTGATTTGGATATGTCGGTCGCTAAAATTTGATTTGATTGCCAATTGAAATCAATACAGATTTGGCGCTACAATAATAATGCAAATGAGCAATGTCCTTACTGCTTGCTGCTGTTATTGGTTGAACTGTAAAAGCAATCGGTCTTGGACTAGTTGTCGTAGAGTCTTGTACACTGTTTTCATCTTTTTGCCCCAAAGCTTCTTTGATTAGGGACTTTGATGCGCAACATTTCGTGCCCGTTTTTCGGCATTTGAATAGCTCTGTCATCTCAGCATTTCCTACAATCAGCAAGGTAAACCTTGTGACAACCTGATTAATTACCGCTACTCACTGAAACAAGTAAAACTTAAGTAGGACACTATACATGATCCAGGACAGTCAGATCTAGGGTCCATAGTAGTTGTGGTAGTCAGAGGATAATGGGGCTTCGGCTTCGGTTTTGACGTGTACGAACTGCTTCTGGTATTATCGCAACACACTGATCCTCTTTTGCAGTTTGATGTGTGCGGAATCAATACTGACGGTCTTTCGCAAAATGCTGCCATTATATTTAAGAGGCAAAAACCTGGACAAATCGGTCCCGGATCTCTAGTTGTTGGCCGTGGAGGGATCGTTGTTCTTACCGGCTGCGGCCTAGTCGTAACTGGATCGTCATTAGCCTAGAAACAGTGTCGTCCATATTCGTGACAAATTCAAATTCAAAATTTATTAAAAATATATATGTGAACAGAAAATTATTTGTCAATTTACAATTCATATAATATAAAAA